TTATTATTCATGAAAGTGACAGTTTCCTTTTATATCAATCCGAGCGAGCCACCACGGAGGCCTTTCCATCGGAGAAGCCACTACCAAAATTGGAGGCCTCCGAGAAGCCCTCTTTTGGAAGGAGAACGGTAAATGTATTTTCCATTGCTACATTAGGGTATGGTGTTCTCTGTTTGGAGTGAAATGAGAGCAACCTAAGTACCAACTTATTTTTTATTAGAAGATTAAAAAAACAGGCAGCAAGCGAGTGTGCTATAAAAGAACAAAAAAAAGTAAAAAGAAGAGGAGCTGGTTCTCCTGCTATTTTGCTGTCTTGCTCATCACGTTCTGGTAATTTGATTGGCTAAATCCCGGTGTCAGGCCGGGGTCATTCGTCGCCACTTGAATTGAAATGTCGGGGTCATTGGGGTTACTCATTTTTGCTGTGGCGACTTCGTCGCCACGCCGAAAATGATTCTAGGCCCTAATAGATAGTTTCTCCTAAAAACTATCGTCAGAAAATCACATAAAATTTTTATGATGTTCATTGTGACGTCCTTTTTAAAAGATTTTGTGATGTCTTTTTTTTCAAATTGTGACGTTTTTTTTGTGACCTTTTTTTTCCGTGACGTCATTTTTAGGTAAATAAATATATAAATGTTGCTGTTTCATCTTTCTTCCCTCTTTCTCTCACTTTTCTCACTCAAGGTAAGTTATTTCCTTTTTTGGGTTGTTGGGAGATTTTCCCCTCTTCTTCCTTTTTTGGGTTGTTGGGAGGTTTTTCCCCTCTTTTTCCATATTTGGGTGTTTGGGGGATTTTTCCCCTCTTCTTCCTTTTTTGGGTATTTGGGAGGTTTTTACCCTCTTCTTTCATATTTGGATACTTAGGGTGTTCTCAAAAAGGGCGAACGGCCGTCCGGACGGGGTCCTGATTTAGAAGTAAGGTATTACCAAAATTGTGATAGTCCATACGGACATTTTGAGAGCAATTTTGCGGGCGTTCAGACCATGCTATTACTATTTTTGTCCACATCTCCAAGTAGTAGTAAGAGATATTGAACAAAAAAAGACGATTGACTGTCAAAACAGCATAAAATGAATACTTTCCTTATTATAAATGCCTACCGAATGTCAGGCTATATAAATAGGTAGGATAAAGAAGTAATAAATGCTAATTATCATCGAAATTTATCCCTTTCTTATTTTATCACATCAACTTCGTTTATCTTCTTTTATTATCATGAGCGACAATTTTATTATTTGGTCTCCTGCTACGCAAGGTTTTAACAGAAGAAACGGTAGTCAGCTTGTACGATCAACACCTCCTGTCACCCAACAGCAAGAACCAGAAACACAAGGTTTTAACACAAGAAACGGTAGTCAACCTATACGACCAACGCCTCCTGTCACGCAACAGCAAGAACCAGAAACGGTTGAAGCCAGTGAAGGTTCTGACCTCGATACAGTAGGCTCTGGTGATGATAGGGAAGAAGAATCGACTGCTGACTGGATGGAAGAAGAAGAAGAAGAATTGATCCGCGCTGTCGAAGAATATTATACTCGCTGGAAGAACGGTAGAAGCAACCAAGAAAAAGGGGAATGGTGGGACAAGATCTACAATAAGTTCATTGAGGATACCAGTTCTGGACATCGACGTAGCAGAAGTGCTTGCAAGAAGAAATGGGATAAGCTCCTTCGACGCTTCCAAAGACTCACTGGGGAAACGAATCAGACCAGAAATGGGGGAGGACGTAATCAAGAGAGGTTCTCTCACTACGATGCGATGATGGCGTTTCTCCAAGACGATGCTAGTATGATAGCACCGGTAACAATCGATTTAAATCGTCAAGGCAACCTGGTTCGAACTCATGATGAAGCAAATGCCAGCAACTCTGTCACAGATGATGTGGAACAACTACCAGCGCAGCGACGACGAGTTAACAATGACTTGGGCGGCGAGCTTTTGGAGGCGCATGAGCGGGGCCGTGAACAGCTGTTTGAAAAACTTGACAGCATCTTCGAACAGTTCACCGAATAAGAACGTACACTCGACGCAGAGCGCGAAGCGGCCGATGAGCGACGTTTTCAACAGCAGCTTCAAGCGATGGTCGATCTTGAAAACAGAAGAGCTGAAAGCCAACGACAGTTAGAAGAAAGAAGGGTCAGAGCAGAGGAGCGGATTGCAGATGTAATTGCAGCACTTGTAGGACTCACCCGTAGTCAAAATAATAGAGAGCAAAATAACACTGAAGAATAAATGTATTATTTATATCACTTAACATATCACAAATTATTGACACTTGTGGAAACTATGACGACTTGTCACATTCATACTTTGTGGAACCAATGCGAGGTTATTGATTCTAGAAAATAAAACAATCGATCGCAATAAATTCGCGCATCGGAAATCGAGAATTAACTTCAACAAACCATTTCGGATAAGTGATATTTACTTAAAACAAATTGGGTTTTTAAAGACTCTTATCATTGTGGTTTTATTGATACAAATTATGCTTGACGCCGGCTGGAATGACGTGCTTGTAACTCATCCTTAAGTGTGTCGCGTTTGGCGTTCCCTGCTTGACGTAGCCGCCGTACTTCAGCATCGGTCAAGATGTCGTCTTGTTCGACAGAGATAGACAGCAGGCTGGAAGTATTTGGTTCCATATCTACTACTGTTGCAGTTTCGGTATCTCCACTATCTTCATCTTCTTCGGCTGTTCTACGATGCGCGTCGACTTCGGCAATACTCACAAGATGATGATCGTTAAGCTCCTGGTCAAAATCATCAATGTTATCTGGGAGTTTGTTGCCAGGTCGGTCGATGCAGATATTGTGGAGGATACAGCAGACATAGATGGTGGTGGCGAGATCGACTGGATTCAGCTGGTACAAGTAATGCTTAAGGAATCGCCAACGCGAAGTGAGCGCACCAAATGCATGTTCAATTGCTATACGCTGTGACGATAAAGCATAATTAAAATCTTTTTTGGCTCGCTCTCATGTGTTTTTCGGATAAGGTATCATAATATATGGGCGTTGAGGATAAGCGGAATCTGTTAAATACAAACTATAATTAGTATAAACTTGCTATGTAGACATAATGAATCATCTTTACATACCTGCAATAATGTATGAGTCATTTGGACATTTGGCATCTGGATCATTTTTCAAATCTCTTGCTAGTTCCGAATTGGCAAACACCCGAGAATCGTGTGCACGACCTTGTATCATGACAATATATTAGCAAGGATACAATTACGAAAGGAAATTGTGATTTGTGAACGTTACCTGATTCACCAACATAAACAGTCAAAAACCGCTGCTGTGCATCGCATACAGCTAGGAGATTCATTGAATGGTGGTTTTTGCGATCCATCCAACTTATCCCACTATGACTTGGCTTATGGATAATCACTAGCTTCCCATCCATAGCCCCAATAACATTTAGCAATTTAGGTCTTGCTACCGCTCTTGTTCGATCCGATTCGAAAACTACTTTTGCAAAGTCGTCTGCATTTCTCTGTACTTCTTCTGGGGTCTGCGGCCATCGGATCATCCTTCCGAGTATATTCACCATTGCTTGCATAAAGTTCTGGCTGAAGTTCCTGTAAGAGCCTTGCGAAAAACCAAAACGAGTACTAAACAAACGGTATCCAAGATGCGTGTTTGCGTAGCACCATAGAACACAAGCAATTTGGATGTATGGTGGAGTAGCACGCGGAGAGCTACGTTGGAAAGCTGGATCTTGAGATAGCATATCCACTAACCAAATGAAAGTAGCCTTGTTCATGCGATAATGAGCCTTGTAGCTGTTTCGCGGGTTGTCATCATCCGTCAAGTTCTTATGCTCGATTCTCCAGTAATCCATGGATCGCTTTGCTTGATAGGGACCACGAACTTGGCGAAAATGGAGAGGGGAACCAATGTAAGCATACATTTCTGGAAGGAAGCCTAATGTTCGGAGCGATGCTTCGGCCATAGTAGTCATAAGAAGCCAAAACAGTCGACGTCTTCGTTCACTGATACGGCGACGGCGTTGAGTAGCCTGCTCGCGATTAGCTTGAATGAGTGATAAACGGGAGTTATTGTCCATTGAAAAAAAAAGAAAATTGGAAAAGAGCGGTTTCTTTATTTTTTTTTGTGTTTCTTCATATCTTTTAAGCACGATCAGAATAAACTTGTATTTCTAAAAACATTCATATCAGCGATACCTAGCTGTATTATTGGTACTGCAATGATGATGTACTAAAGACAGGTATAGGAAAAATGATATCTTTTCTGCTTTTCCAAATTCAAGTCGATTGCCGTTGCATGGATGTGACACAGTTACTTTCCTTTTCGAGTTCGGACCGAGGCGTCGTCTCAACAAATTGTTGAGACGACGATTCGCTCAATTTGGAAGCTTCGACCCATCTTCATATGGAAAACAATTTTTCGGCTTTTAAATTTATTTCTATTCGTGGGTGGGGCGAACGGCCGTTCGCCCTTTTTGAGAACACCCTTAGTACCTTTTTTCCCCTCTTCTTCCATATTTGGATATTTAGTACTTTTTTCCCCTCTTTTTCCATATTTGGGTAGTTGGGAGATTTTTCCCCTCTTCTTCTATATTTGGATATTTGTTACTTTTTTCCCCTCTTCTTCCATATTAGTCATGTCAGTCCTTTTTTCTCCTCTTCTTCCATATAAAGTACCCTTGGGCTACTAAGCTTTCTTTGCTCGTTTTTTTGCTCTATTCATTGCCATCTTTACCCCGTTTCGAAACATGCTCCTTGTCATGCTATTTCTATTTTACACTTTTTTTACCAATGTTTTCACCTATAAATCATATTAATCCTTTACATCATCTCAATCCTCTTTAATAGCTCTTTCATCGACCGCCAGCTCTTCACCACTCTCCACAAAGTCACCGTCAATGGTAGGTTTACTTATAAATAAAACATGAACCTTCAAAACTAATATCCCATTCACTAGTCCCCAACGCTACTCTCAAGCCCACCTTAGAAGCCATTTTGGACGCAATGGATCGTGGTAAGCACAAGTAACTACTAACTACAAAATTATCATATACTTACATACTTATATTAGTCCCAGTTGAAACTACTAAGGAGACCCTTAGAGGTTACTTGGCAGATCTCGACGATCTTATGCAAATGGAGGCTGATTGTGAAGCTCTGGTCCAACAACAACAACAACAACAACAACAACAACAACAAGACGTCGAAGAAGAAATCGTCTACTTGACTCCAACCAAAGATGAAGCGTAAGCATTTTTAATACATAAAATGATCATTTCCTTACTAAAATTAAATAATATGTAGCTCTGACGTCGAGAAACTCCAACCCTGGGAAGCAGTAATGTGTGAGGACCCCTTCTACCGCAATTTTGGTCCACAAGTAACCAACTAGCTAAAGGTAACCCTTCTTTATCGCATTATTTCTCAGTCTATTAATATTCCTGCATCTAAGTATAGTCTACAAGAAGTTCTATACTTTGGCTACCCCTAGACATGGTGCTCCTCTCACTTCGGTCATCCTTGAGCTGAATACTACTACGGTTGCTACTGCATCAGCTTGTTGTATTCATACAGACGAAGATATAGAAGGCGTCAACTTTTTTAGTTATATCCGTAACTACAACGAACAGCAACTAGAGCAAATCATCAACCATGCAATCAGTGGAAGACCCTTCGAAGCCTTAGACCAAAAATTGATAAAGTCCGTCCGTGCCATCTTGTGCGCTTACCTCCACTACAAGAATGGCGGTAATCTAAATCAGCTTGGCTACAAGAGAGAACTGAATGAATTGGCTAAAGGTACTTCTCAAATACAAACTTATACAAATTATTTCTAATTCCTCTTTTTCTAGTTAGATTGCCAAGATCTGCCAAGCCTAGCCAAACAATAACCGTCGGTTATCATATGCTGGCTTTCTACAAGCAAGCTGGCGCCTAGCCAATCCTCTTTTCCGACAAGTTTAACTGGCCTTTCTTCCTCTCCGTACGTAAACTTTTTCTTTCTCACCCTGCTTTTTACTAACATACTTTCTTTAGTTCTCCTCGGACAACTGGGCCTATTTAGAGGAAAATGACTTTTCTCCTTTGCGTCCTTTAATCACACCAATAATTCCTACAATGAACTACTTGACATCGTTCAAGAATGTTGGCTTCTTCCTACATCATATTCAGTCATTAGTAAATATGATGGCTGAAGCTAAGAGTCAAGAACGTACCTATGGCCGTTATTATCATACTTTTGGTCATTAGAAAATACATTTTGTCTCTCTCTCTCCCTTTCCATCATAACTTTCTTCTCTTTTTCCACCAAATAAAATCATCAATGTCTTAAATAAAAAACATGTCTTAACAAAAAAATATAGCAAACAATAGCCTTTTGAAAAAATTATTAAGATACTATAGAACCTTCTGGAATCTATCAAAACCAGTCACCATCTCTTTAAAGCTCAGTTTTTAAAGTCAGAAAAAAAGTATATAAAGAGCCAACGTTTGAAACACTTTTCTCCTTCCCCCAACTTTTAGTTACTAAAATGTGAGTGTACAGCTGCTCTTTACTATATAAAAGTCCTAGTTCCTTTTCTGTCTTTTTAGTGGGTTTTTCCTCTCTCTTTCCTATTTAGTCATTTTGGTAGATTTTTCTCCCTTCTTTCTTGTTTAGTAACTTTAGTAGATTTTTCTCCATTTTTCCTTTTCAGTCATTTTGGTGTATTTTTCTCCTTGCTTCCTTTTCAGTCACTTAGGTAGAGTTTTCCCTCTCTTTCCTTTTCCGTTCTTTTGGTAGATTTTTCTCCCTTCTTTCCTTTTGGGACATTTAGGTGGATTTTTCTCCTCTCTATCCATTTCTACCATTCAGTTACATTTTCACTCTTTAGCCATTATTTGAAAATCATCTTTTTCCCTTTATTTTTTTACGTGATTCCGATGTAAATACTTATACTAATCATTTAACAATAGCTTTTTCAAGAGCCCCTTTTTTAAAAAAATCAAATATGTCTGCCAACAACTCTAGCTCGTATGCCTCGAAGGTCCGCTCGTGGCTTCGTTTGCAAAGTCGGTCGTCACTGGTAACAGCCAGTTGCCTGTTGAGGACTCGGTTCACCTTTACCTCCGCTGCTGCAGCAAGAGCCTTTCCCTGCTTTGCCTGCTGCCCAATCGTCTCCCTTGTTGGCTTCTCCAGCTATTGCTTTGCCCCTGTCCATCAGGGTAACCGTTCACCTCGTCAGGAACATAGAAACTCCTTGGAAAGTCTTCCTTCGGATTTTAGCTGGGATGATTCCCAAGAGGCTGCTTCTCGTAATTATTGTTTCTCTCTCACTTTGTTTTACGTTTTACATCTCATTCTCTGAAAATATTAGCTCCCAAGACTGCTTCCCCTCCTTTATTGAAAAAGAGAAAGGTTGTAGAATCAAGCTCTCCAGTACGAAATGCTCGTTCTAGTATCTCTGGTACACGTACAAACCAGCGCTAGTTACTCCCCGTCGTTCTGCCTTGGAAAAAGGAAAATTCCGGGCTCAGCCCAGTACTGTACATACATAGCAACCGGTATTGCAATCAACCCAAAAGTCTTCAATTGCAATTTTAGAGCGTTCAGATATCAGTCAAGGTAAGCTTATCATTTATTTATAAAAGTATTTACACTGTCATTTTCTACATACTAAAAACAATTCAATCATCAAACTTTCAAAATACTTCAGATAATTGCAAAACTACAACTCCAAGCAAAAGTATGTATCCATAGTCAGTTTACTCTTTTACAATCTCTAATTTCTTACATCTTTATAGTCTTCAAAAGACGTCCAGCTCCTACCATCTCATCTACACCACTTTCTGCCCAGGCATCTCATCACCAATCAGCTCTGCCTTCATCAACATCGTCATTTACCCACCGTCTACACCAAAAAATTATCGATGCAAACATACCCGATAGCGGCAGTGACTATAACCCTAGTTGTTCAGTACATTCCTCAACATCTAGTGGTTCAGAGAGTGAATCTAGCAACAACAGCGGTAGTGAAAGCGACAGTACAGACCCAGGTACATCGCAACCCACACAGCATTCTGGTATTCTTTGCGGTATCGATGAATGCATTTTATATTTTTCTTCAAAATCTGCTCGTAAGCGACACATTCGCAAAACACACCAGAAAAAAGTTAATGTTAAATATCCAAACGATCATGGTGTGTATCTCTCCTATACCATCTACCATTTATATTGCATTGAAATACTAATCACTTTATAGGAAAAGTAACTACACTTCTTGTCGATGCCAAGCGATATGTCCATGCCATTGTGAGTTCAAACTACCCACTTTCAAGTATGCAGCGCCACTGTCAAAACTGTGATTTGCCAGTAGCTGCACCAACTGAGCAACCAACTGTCACTGTACCTGAACCAGATGTATCATTATTAAGCAATCATGCAATCATTGCCAATGCTTTTACTCGTCTGGAACCTGCCTTTGGCCAAACGTCAAACGTTGATACCGACCGTAAGCTGATCCCATGGTTTTTTTGTTCACACAAAGTGGTATGACATTGTCGAACAGTGGAAAACAGGTACTTTTTTTACTTTGATAGCTATTCTACATTTATAGCATTGTCAACTTGCTCACTATTCTCTCTATAGCACACAACCAACACCAACAACAACATCCTAATCGCACATCAAGAAACATCCCTATCACTATCTATGATTTAACAAAGAAAATCCATGTAGAGGAAAATGTGCTAAAAGTTGTAGCAAAAGTTAATAAGCAGCTTTTTGTCCACTTGCACAACTCTATTCACGAAAAAGACTATACCCTTCGTCGTTATCTTAAACAGAAAAAGTAAGTGTCGCAACTATCTACTTTGTTTCAGTCATCCACTCTAACTTATTTGCTTTCTTTAGGCTCTCCGAACATCTCCCTGATCATAGATTCAACCAACTTGAGCGGCCCACTATCCAACGGTATACCCAAACTGGCGCCAATCTATTTACCTTCTTACTTCGCATCCGTCGTTCTCCTCACTGGTCTTTTGTTTTGGGTACCTGGTCTTCCACTATTTCTACCATACTCACTAATATCGCAACACTATCCGCAAATGTCAATCCAGCCCAATTGTCATCACACACCGCCGCACAGATTGAATCAGAAATCTGTAAATTGTGGATAGCATTATTGAAAGAAGAAAAACGTTTTGATGTCGCAACCAATGGATATACTATTGCTCGTTTCATCATTGCTTCATCCTTGCAGTTTAATGGGCAATTTAAAGACGTAACCTCTATTGCACCTTTAATCTCCCAAGTCAAGTACTGGTTCCGCTTACTTTTACTTAACGATATTTACACACGCCATACAAATCAAAACTTAATTACAGTGTAAGTTCTTTGCTTTTTCCATTCTACATTAAACCTTCCACACTTGCATAACAAACTCTTTTTTAGCTTTACTACAAATTACCAAGATTACTTGATCGATGGCAAGTCGTCTGCATATGCTGCTATTGCCGAATACAGCCGGATTGCGTCAATCTCTGACTCGTCAGAGTTTGTCACTGACAAAATAATATGGACACCACACAAAACCATCTGTCACTTGCTATGGTCGAAACGAACGAGCGCATTCATGTACATGATTTGCGTCTCCTAGTCACCAACTTAAAAACCAGTATACAGCAAAACATCAACAAACTCACCTTTAACATCGACCTCGACAATCTCCTTCAATTCCGCAACAATAAACCAATCCACCTATACGACGATTTCAACAATCGCGACATCAATTATTCATTTTTCACCGACCCAAAGAACAACCTCCGTCACCAATTCGGTCATATTCTCCAGCACATACACACGACCCCACACCTATCACGTACTTATATTCAATATATAACCAATAACAACAATACAACTTACAATCTGTCCGCCATTAAAAATTACATCACCACAGCTGAACAAATCCAACGCGATTTGTTCATGCTAATGCACCTCACATACAGCCAAACAGCTCGGGCCACAGAGCTAGAAGGCACTTTACTACAAAACACGACACACGCAACACGCAACTTATACTGGTCAAATGAACATCAAACATTGATGCTTCTTACAACATACCAAAAACTCGTAATATTAAACAACGTGACCAAGCAATTGCCCGTTTTATCCCTCATTCTCTTATCCGCTTGTTTCTTAACTATATCACCTTCATCCGTCCCATAGAAAGGTATTTACATTTTAAAAGTCTACCATGCAATGTCTAACTCTATTTATTTCACTAGCCTCTCCATTTATGAATGCTCAAATTCCGACCAAAAAATGCTTGATACGATGGCATACTTCTTTGTACGCAATGGCGTAAAAATGTCAGCTGACCTTCTCCGCACATATTTTCAAGCCCGCTGGCATCAACTCCTTCCTTCTCGTCTGAGTTTCCAAGATTACCGCCATGTATCAGTCGCATTTTCAAGATATCACATCCAACATTTGCTGGCTCATCATGGCACAAATTATACAGTGGCCCTGCAGGCAGGCCACTTGTCTAGAACTGCCGCACATAACTACGCACAAGCATCGACCGACTCAAAAGCACTTTCTTCAGTAGCAATAGAAGAGTATTTTATTGCTTCTGAAACGTGGAATGATTTTCTTGGTATGTTATCTGCGTCCTTATAATTTCACAACCATTCATTGATATATTCACCATTCTTCTATTACAGGTGTCGGCCCTTGGCGTCATCTCTTTCCGGGTGCTATTCCGCAGGCAGAGCAGGATAGAGTTGCTGTCCAACACGGACAATTTCTGGCAAATGTTGCTGCTGCTGAGAACGTTGCATTGCTCGAGATGCAACACCGTATGCAAGTGCAAAATGACTTGGACAGGCGCCAGTCAACAACCACTTCGACACCACCAGCACTTCCGCAAGGTACATCCTTTTTTTTCATCAACCTTACATGTTTACATGTAAAATCATAATTAATATTGCTCTCTACATAGGTACATTCATCACACCATAGCTGCTTAACGCACTTGGTAAAGCCACCAACTCGCTGTCGCCTTCCTTCCGCTCCTTTGAACAGGCACAGCTCATTACCACCGTCATCTCCCGCAAATCTAGCATACTTACTATCCAACCAACTGGCTCTGGTAAGTCCCTGCTATTCCTTGTCCCTGCACTAGTCGAGCCGCACTTAACAACAGTTGTTGTTGTTCCTCTCGTTGCACTTTTGGCCGATATGAAACGGCGCATTCAGCAAGCTGGGTTGTCTGTAATAGAATACACTCCCAATATTACTATGCAGCTCCCCTTGCCCAACATCATCATCGTCCAAGTGGAACATGC